TAGTATTCAATCCTTACGCATGCGCATTCGCGTTTTACCCTATTTCATTACACGAATATTGCTATGCTTACCGGGAATATGATGAAGCATACTTTTTAACGGATTTTCTTTTTCGTGCTTTGATTGACTGAATATAATTATACAGTACGTAAAATTCATTATTGTATTTGTCTTCATTTATTCTATTATCATGTCAACATTTCTGATTCACACTACTTTGTTATCTTTACGTTTCACACTCGTCAATAGTGTATATGCTCAACATTACATAAGTTAATTTCTATTATTATCACAACATTGAATGTAATTGCTATTTAACTTACGTAACGAACTGTCAAGTCTTTTACAATTAATATGAAAAACAAATACACTTGAAAAAACAATTGATAGAATAATCAGGGGAGCAGGTAGTTTGTGTGTAAATATGTAAAAAGGTTTCATTTTTCATGTGTTTGTTTTTGTGTTCATTTATTTATTTAGTTCGTTGGTTAGTTTTCATGGTGAAGTTTTTTTTTCTAATTTCAAAAATGTGATAAGTGACAAAATTGACATTTAATTTAGTTTAGTTTCAGTGTAGTAATAGTGTACTATTATATTGAATTAGTTAGAAAGTATTTCTCACAATGCATTGCACATGTGCGCAGTATTTCGAAATGCCTTTACATGGATGGTCGTAATTAGCGATCTCATAGTGTACAGTGGATAAGGTGCAGGTATGGAGCGTCATTTTAAAATGTGTGAATAATCCTGTTTTTCTCCATCATATAACATGTATCTGTAAACAAAAATTAAACCATTTATTAGTGGATTGTGATTTTTAGCCTATTAACATACTATGTAAAATATAAATTCAATAAAATGGGATATGAACATGTTCGCTTCTTTTTTTCATTTTCATAATTATTCGCCGATGAACATCAACATAGAATTCATAAGAGTACTTAATAGTAAACATCCGCCATGTGCTCAGGTTGTGAACAATAACATCATATGTTGTGTTTTATAGGTAGATATTTTTCGTATAATTGGTTGATATGTATTAAAGGCTGGGGTGGACACTACTATGACAAAATATGTGTTAAAAGTGACACATAATCAGACCTTTCCATCGACGCTTTGCCCCCTCAGATGGTACCAAACAGCGAGAAAGTGGGTTTTACTTCATCGACTATATATTTAAAGTTGAATCATGAATATCGCTATGCATCATATCTTCCACCAGTCACAATATTAGCTACATTTCTGGAAACAGCGCCATAGTTACTTGAGAGAAAATCCAAATAAATCCATCAGTTATTTATTAATATTTGTTTTGGACGAGAGGCGATAAAAGGTCGGAAAAAGATTAGTAGTATACGGTTATTACGAGAATACTTCAAATTATGCACGAAGACAGTACAACTGGAGTGCGTGGAGGTCGATGCGCTGCGTACTGTCTGAGTGCATACTTTGAGGTATTCTCGTAATAACCTTATAATTATAAATCTTTCCCTTCCAAGGATACATCATGGGAAAGCCGACATCCAAAAAGTTTAGAACAGAGTCAGCGAACTTCTTTGTGTGGAGTCGGGTCAATCCCCGACCGCAGCCATGTTTGTTTTTATTATTTGAGGACGCTTACGCTCGTAATCATTCCATATTTGGAATTCGCATTTTTCTTTATATGGTAGGATGAAAATACCTTGTAAAATACCGCAAAATTACGGCACACTGTAACTTATGGCGTTACGCCAACAGATGTATAATAATAAATAGTTCTGAACGATTCATTTAAATTTGTAACTTCGCAAAATATGTGTATACATGTATATTACAGTTATCCACTAACATCGTATTATTAGCATGCGTTCATATTAAAACATTTATTGGCTGACACCAATCACACAACACAAGGCAAAATTTGATACTTCGAAAAAACAAATATGTTAACAAGCTGCTCTCTGATTGGTCTGACTGTTATGTGACGTAGTAGCTAATCAGGCGCGATATTATACGTAGCTTCTAATTGACTCTGATTGATCAGTACCAGCTCTAGGTGCACTCGACGTGTTGTACGTAAGTTGTTCGTCGTTCAACTGTTACCAGTCAGGTAATTGTCACCAACAACATAGAAGTACCAATCACATAATTCTCACCAATGTACAAGTACCAATCAGGTAATACTCACCAATGCACAGGTGCCAATCAGGTAATTCTCACCAATGCACAGGTACCAAACAGGTAATTCTCACCAATGCACATGTGCCAATCAGGTAATTCTCACCAATGCACAGGTACCAATCAGGTAATTGTCACCAATGCACAAGCACTAATCAGGTAATTCTCACCAATGCACAAGTACTAATCAGGCAATTCTCACCAATGCACAAGTACCAATCAGGTAATTCTCACCAATGCACCGTACGTACCAATCAGGCAATTCTCATGAATGCACAGGTACCAAACAGGTAATTCTCACCAATGCACAGGTGCCAATCAGGTAATTCTCACCAATGCACATGTGCCAATCAGGTAATTCTCACCAATGCACAAGTACCAATCACATAATTCTCACCAATGCACAAGTACCAATCAGGTAATTCTCACCAATGCACAGGTGCCAATCAGGTAATTCTCACCAATGCACAGGTACCAAACAGGTAATTCTCACCAATGCACATGTGCCAAT